GGGTGAGTCCGTAGTCGATGAGTACATCTCGGGAGATCCCGGACTGGCTAAATTAAGCAATAAACTGCATTTCCGAGGCGAACAGTAGACACGTGGGCGGGACCTCGAGAACTGCTCGCTCAGCTTGTCACCTAACGTTTCTGAGTCACAGCGCGTCGATTTTCGCCCCTCGGGGCGAAACCTCCCGGACCGTAAGTGCCAAGCGCGCTCAAATGGGCGTCTATATGCACATCACGGCGACTCAAGAGCATTAAAAACACCGAGTCTTTACCATTGTCGCTCTCTCTCGTCGACAGTCGTTCTTTCGTCACTCTCTCGTCGTTGAAATTCCCTTTCGGCACCAGGAATCTATCAATCAGACTACTAGTCTCTGCACACCCAGGTCATTGACACCTTGAAGCACATTCCATGGACGGACACGGACAACAGACGACGATTTGCTGGGCAACTAGTGCTGATTCCAATTAGCACTCTGGATAAGAACCCCATCTTCCAGCGCTTCAAGCTCCTCAACAAGGACCATTCTGAGACCAAGCTCGAGAACAAGACCAAAGATATGTCATCGTGAGGTCCAAACGGCGCCAGCTCGCGCTTCTGCCCGCAATGCAGTTGCCGGGCCATCTCATCTTCGGATGGAAGATTCTGCATCGGTCTCACGCCCAGCTCCGTTTCCGCTCTAGGAGATGGGCAAGGACAACAAGTACCTACGCCTGCTGATGGATGGTGACGCTATCTCGGAGGAGGCCTGGACCGGATTTGTGGAGAAGTGCGGGTCTTGCAACCGTGTGCTCACGCGCAAAGCGCTCAAAAAACACACCAAGTGTTGCCTTGGTGAGCTCACTGTGTTTTACGTCATAAATTTCTTAAGCCTCGATTGAGTCAACAACAGATAGACAGAAGTAGACAGAATAAATAGAAGTCTCGAGCCAGTAATGGATCACCTATTCATTTGCTCGAATGTTCTTCGAGCTCCAAAATCGCATCCTGTCGTCGAAAAGTGTCTGAAAAAAAAATCGTGGAAACGAAGGCTATCAGAATGTTCACGTGACCGCGACGCAACGCAACGCGACAGACCACAAACCACCTTGGATAATTACAACTTGAAAGGAGGCTTTATAGAGCAAAGAAAATCAGTTTATTGCTTAATTTAGCCAGTCCGGGATCTCCCGAGATGTACTCATCGACTACGGACTCACCCGCGTGAAAGAGATTCTTGATAAAGATTTCTTTACGGCATATCCTGTCAAGTGTGTGACCGATATGCCACCTGGGCATGGCCAGGACGGAGCGAGTCTGGAGCAAGTGCCACCAGGTTGCCGTGATGACAGGTGCCATCTCTTTTGCCCCCTGTGTCAATACTCCACGAAGACCTACCGATATTCCTGTCCACTTGAATCTCCCCGTAGTGGCGTGATAAATCAGCGCATTGTGATGCATGCTCTCGGGGTGTCCTCCTCTGTGTATGCCGCGGGGCTTCTCCCGGGCCGGGTACGGGCGCGGAATGGCTTTCGGGCGGGGAGCGTATCTGCCCGGGCAGATGAGTTGAGCGCAGCGGGCCCGAGTGCGCTGTACGCGATGGGAGCGGGGAGTCGCAGCACCGTGCCGAGGCCCTGCACACTTGGAGCCGCGATGGATGGAGAGTGGTCACCCAGTGTTCGAAATGAGTCGTGGGTTCACCATTCCGCCTCATCAGGTGGGCTCGGCTTCTCCCGATCCTCGGAGCAGAGTGCTCCCCTGCGAATTATTCCTATCCTAAACCGATACATACATCAAGAATACCCTCAAGAAAAGCGCGTTCCGATCGCACCTCCAACCGGTACAAAAAACCCGACTTTTTTTAACCCTTCTAAACGCATTTTTAGAGGCCTCGGACCAAATTCCGAAAAGTGAAATAAGGTCGTCCAGCGAGGCTGTGTCTCGGCTTCTTCCGGCGGGTACCTCTTGGGCTGATTTGTTTCCGGTGGAGTGAACCACTTAACGAGGGTCACATACAGGAAGTGGCACGCGAGTCCGAGGTATGCCTGAAACGCCAAAAAGAATCAGATTTATCCAATTACTCTTGGGGACAAATGAAATTCTTGGGAACTGGAGGGGCCGCTCACACGAGAAGCTCAGAAAAGCAAGAGGGAAGCACAGGAGATGACTTCCCGCGTTGGTCCCGTCTAAGATTCCGGCATTCGCTCCGTATTGAAGAAGCACCGGAAAATATACAACGCGGTGAAGGTGAGGTCAAAAGACCGAAATTAAATGAGAAGGAAGATGCATACAATCAGCAAGGCTGATTGGCAGCAGGAAATCAACAGAAGGCGCAGAAGCCTACGGAAAACTCCTTACCCTCGGAACCCGGCTTTACGACGAGCATTTTCTGCTTAGCATGGGAACGCTGACCTTATTCCGTGGCCTCGGGGACCTGAGTACTCTCAGCGAGACAAATTTCGTGTTCGTTTGATTCCGATAACTTCCACGGCACAGACGGCATCCCCACATACGGCATCCCTGCGGCCCGGGGCAGTGGTCATGGTGCGGCCAAAGCTCTGCAAACTGTTCGAACAGCTGACGTGCTGTTTACACACGTGTACATCCCACTTCCCCTCCTTACCATCCACTCATGGACATCCCAGAGAGGCCACGAGTTTCGCAAAAATGCACGAAACCCATTTCCCTCAATGGGGCGCAGGAGCTCACAAATGCCAACAGTCAATTTCGCCGACGCCGATGTCACGTTCAAATCCTCAGACGGCGTGTTATTCCACATCCACCGCAAGAATCTCGAAGTGTGCGCCGAGGGCTTCCCTCCCGGCGAGATCTCTACATCGGAGGGAGAGATTGTTGAACTCCTCGAGAGCTCGATTACGCTCGAGCTCCTGTTCCAATTCATGTATCCGCAACGTCACCCCGCGCTGGACACCACGCCTTTTGAAATTCTCCACTCACTCGCGGAGGCTGCCGAGAAGTACCAGGTCTTCCCTGCGATGAATATCTGTCACATTCGTTTGAGGTTCGTCTCAGCCAGCTGTTCTATCGTGTCACTAACTTCGGCGCAGGGATATGGTGCACGAGCACCCCGTCGAGGTCGCAGTCTACGCAGCGAAGCACGACTACCCGTACCTCGTGTCTGAGGTCGCGCCAATGATGATAAGCATGTCGGCGGTAGATGTGATTCAGATGTTACCGCCGCACCTCATCCTTCCATGGGTTCGTCCAATCGTTTCGTTTACGTGGTGGGCCCCGTGCCTGAGTATGATTATATAGGTTCGATACGTCCAAGAATGGACCCGAGTTCATCAAACCGTTGCCCTTCAACTCCAATATGGAGGAAGCAGAAATCACTCCAACGGAGATTACTGCAACCAAGACAAGTGGCGGGCCTACGCCTTTCTTGCTTTGCAACGCCTCGCTGTCGGCGTCCAAAGTCTACGAGCATTGGATCATGTCTTCAACCAAGTCCCCGCCAACGAACACCACTCTTACGCGTGTTGCAGAGAGGACTTGACGGCGTGGCGACAGCGCATCGAAGAGGAGATCGCTAAAATTCCGAAATTCAGTACTTTCTTGTAACGTTCAAATTCTGAGTCCGATACTAAAGACATCGTTTTAATTTTACTACTTCACACAATGGCCTACTATAATTCCCCAGCCGTTTGACCCTTTTGACAGAGTTGAATGCAGCCTCTTCCAGCCATATTCCGGAACTCCAATCATGGGTCCGGGGAGTGAGCTCAATACTCTACGAAGACATACCCACCTTCCTGCCCGCCTTAATATCCTTGGAAATATCGAGCGGCTGCAGGGATGCAACAAGGCCTTACATCGCCATCAGTGTCTTCGGGTGGATTCGAACCACCAATTCAATATCTCGTAGAAACTCCCACATGGGACGGGAGCGAGTTCAATACTCCACGAAGATATTCATACTAGCTGTCAACCCCTCAAATATATCGGCAACCAGACGGCATACAAGACCTGGGGGTGCAAAAAAAACTGTTCATACAGATGGAAAGCTTCATCTCCTCTCTCTTTAATGCCTTCGTGTGGATTTGAACCACCAACTCCAGAGATTGAACATCTCGTTGGAATGGGACGTGAGTGAGTTCAATACTCTACGAGGCCTTGGATATCCTCCTGCCGCCCTGAATTTGTCGGTGAAAAAAAGTACAGCGGCCGCAGGGATGCAAAAAGGGGGTTGATTCTTGTCAGTGTCTTCGGGAATAAGTGCAATACCACACAAAGACGTGTTTATCTTTCTGCTTACATGGATATATGCTTGCCCTCCCCCCCGCCCGATGATCCATGTAAATACACCGCGAAGGCTGCAGGAATGCAAAACGTCGTTGCAGCTCCCTCAGCGTCTTCGGGTCCCACGAAGATTTTGCTCCCTTCCTAACTTACGTACCTGAATATCCCGTACAGTACACCGCGGCTGCACGGATGAGAAAAGGTATCGGCACGCCGACAGTGTCTCCGGGTGGGGTCCAACCACCAACTCTCACAAGGCTCCAGTATGAGTTCATAGTTATGAGATGGGAGCGAGTTCATTGCTCCACGAAGACTCCCCTGGATTCCTACCCGCCTGTATATCGCTACGATACAACGCGGCCGCAGGGATGCAAAAAGCTAATATCTCCCCCAATACTTAGTGTCTTCGGGTGGATTCGAACCACCAACTTTCCCAAGATGCAATATTCCAAGAATACATTCAGATGGGATGAGAGTGGGCTCAATACCCTACGAAGACTTATCTCCCTTTCTAGTCGGCTGGATACGTGGGTAAATAAACAGCGGCTGCGGGAATGCAAAAACCGCAACCCCTCTGGATGGGGTCTTCGAGTGGATTCGAACCATCAGCTCTCCCCACATTCCTTGTTGTGAACATTGCAATGGAATGGGAGCTAGCTCAATAATCCATGAAAGCTCCATACTTCTTCTGAAGACCCGAATATATTGGTAACCACCAGGCATACAAGGACCGGAGGCTCCAAAAAGCTAGTGTCTGTCTTTAGTGTCTTCGGGTGGATTCGAACCACCAGCTCTCCCAAATAATCTGGCAGATAGCTTGTAAATGGGACGGGAGTGAAATTCATTACTCCACGAAGACTTACCTGTATTCCTTCCTACCGGCCTGAATATGCACATAAATCCACGGCGGTAGGAGGCAAAAAAGGACAAACTTTGTACATGTCTTCGGGTGGATTCGAACCACCAGCTCTCCGAGCTCCGCCTCATCTCCCGGGGCGGGAGTGCGTTCAATACTCCACGAAGACCTACCGATATTTCTGGCCACCTGAATGTCCACGTAGTGCCGTGATAAATCAGCGCCTTGCGATGCATGTCCTCGGGGTGTCCTCTGCGTGAGCGTCCCCAGTGTTAGAAACGACTCGTGGTTTCACCACTCCGCCTCATCGGGTTGGGTCACCTTCTAAACCGATACTTCAAGAATCCTCTCAAGAAATGCGTGATCCGATCTGGGCCCAATCGAACCACAGTGGACGCGTGTTGATCTCTAGCACCGCCACACTTGTCCGTCATCGACGTCATACCGCGACTCCAACCTCTGTAGACGCGCCGCTCACACCTCTCCTCAACCCAAAATGACCACAACCACCACCACCACCGCCTCGAACCCCGTCCCCAGCCTCGACTCCGCCGCTCTGCCGCAGACGCCTGCGGACGAGTGGGCACAGAACACAAACGGCATCCTGGACGCGCACGAAACCACGACCCAGAATGTTCCGGGTTCGTTTACCGAGGAACACGCAGCGGCACGGAGCGGGGAGACGCTGATGGCGACGGCCAAGACGTACCTGCCCGCGCAGGACGACGTCCAGCGCGCGATGACGAATGCGGGGCAGACGGCGAAGGCGTATCTGCCGCAGGGCGTTGCGGCGTATCTGCGTGCGTTCAATCCTCATTATTTTCATCCCCAACTCTGATATCTTGTCATGGTTAGCTTCTGCGTCGTCTGAATCAAGCTCGGACCTCACGCCCCCGCGCCCGCCATTCGCCACCCCCGACCGCGCCTCCACGAATCTCAGTACAGAAGCCCAAGCCGGCTCCATCGGCCCCCCGCACCTCGACTCCCCCTCCCCCTCCGCGCTCTCCACCCCGAACGCCGACCTCGACAACCTGAGCACACTCGTGCACACCGGCGGCCCCGCCTCCCTGCACCCCGTCACCCCGCTCGGCTCGCGCTTCGCGGAGAACCTCGTCACGCCGCCGGGCCTCGCGTTCCCTCCGAATTTATCGGATGCTGCGCCGGTGATCCCGCCGCCGCCAACTTCGACGACGACGGACACGCAACGCGCGGGGCCGGACGTGGCTGCGCCCTCGCCGTACAGCGTCCTTGCGCCCTCTCAATCCCATTCCTCCGCGCCGGCAGAACCGCCCGCGGCACCCGCACACTACGCAGACGCACAACAGGAGGGGAGTCCGCAGCGCAAGCCAAAGCTCGTCCAGCGCCTCAAGGAGAAGATGCACGTCGGGCATGCGCACGCGCATTCATAGTGTAGTTTCCTCCTCTCAGTCTCAGTGGTAATGCGATCTGTAATTGTAAATGTAGGATACGATACCTGGCGATGATACACGATACCTTCATGTACTGCGAAATTGAACTTCGATTACACTATTTCAGTTTCGCGCGCGTATATATGGAGGTAATGGGAAGGATAGGAGGTCTTAATGGAGTACGAAACTCGCTCCCTCCCAAGGCCTAATGCCCGATACCGGTGGGTTGTGGAATAAAGGGAGAGTCGGCGGTTCGAAGCCGCCCGAAGACACGGCGTGATTTCCGATTTTTTGTCCCGTATCCCTGGAGCCACGTGTTTGGGTCCAAGGATTAATTATAAGAGTGGAACCTCACTGGGCGCGGGAGGGACAAAGGGGGGTCTGAGTGGCCTCCGGCGCGTTGGCATACCGAATCCAGGAAAGTTTTGACTTCACCTGGCGCAACGACGGGATGAAGAGCCGTCGTGGAACGCGCTGGTTCTCAAAGTCTTGGTCGTCGCGGCATGGAAGAGAAACATTGGGGTTCGATTCCCCTCGGCGGCATGGTGTATGACGCTCCGCATTTATGTATGCGCACCCCCCCGTTCATGCGTACCGGCGTCGCAAAACCGTGTACCCATTGCCGAATGGGATGTGAGAAGTTACATAATTCAGCGACCCAATTCACGAAACACGAAGACGCCGAATGAGCCCGATCTCGGAGCGCGTGGTGTGGTGCTGTTAGATCATTTGATGGAGGAAAGTGTCGGGTCTGCATTAAATAAAATCGGAGTTGGATGGGATGAACCAAGTACATATCAAACCACCACTTACCACTGGTAAAGGAACAGGGAACAGAAGAAAAGAAAGACCAAGAAAAACATTCGAGCAGGCATCGACATGGCCCAGCCCAGGATTGAACGGGCTTCCCACTGAATCGCGCTGCGAAATGAATATAAAGTATTGTGGATGCAGATCTACACCGGGAGGATATAGACGCTGGTGGCCACGTTTTCATTCCGAGGACTGCGCGCTTGACCTCGTCGACCAAATCCGACATCGTATAGTTTTGCGATGCCTCCAGAGGCGGGAGATCCAGGACTCCTCGGAACGCAATATCGCGAAACAATGATAACCAGGTTGCCTTAGACAGAGACAGAGCTCGCAGAAGTTTGTTCACCCGCCCGACTTGGAGGACAGTGTGAACATCGGAGCAGCCAAGGATTTCCGGGAGAATGTCTTCGTTGAGGTCGTTGGAACGCTAGCCCTAAATTTAGGTTGCAGCGGATTTAAATTCGCGCAGCTCGAGATTAGTGGGGGTCCCAAATCCGCTATGTACCGAACCTCACAATCTCTGATATCCAGAGAACGTCCTGTATCTTCTACTGCACGCCTTCAAATTCTCTGCGCCGGACCGCATTAAATGGCGAATGACCGGCCTCATGCGAGCGTTGATAATCAAGCAGACCTTCCCATACTTATGGAGGCCCTCAGGCCAACCTGACTGGTACAATCATTTCTGCTTTGTGATCTACTCGCCAATATACTATGTCTTTTACATATTCTCTGCGTTCAGAGGTCGCCTAGTGTGAGGCTTCGATAGCGCTCGTATGGGAACTGTAGTCTAACGGATTCCTGGCGGGCGCTCGAGCCTTGCGATTGTGGTGAAGACCTCTCTCTTGAACGGTCACTCTGTGAATGCGCAGCGGGGATTGGATACCCGGGTCCTTTGTGTGCGCGCTTTACTTCGATAGGATACCCCGGTAAAGTACCGCGTAGGCACGTGCTCCCAGAACTCGAAGTTCTGGATGACAGATTTCAGTTAATATATAAGCAGAACACTCACCTATACCCTCTGGCCTCTATCTTGGAGACATGCTCTACAAGAAAGGCAATAAGGCTTTATAAGATGAAGTAGTTTGGTGTAAGTGTAGATAGATTCGTCATGCGCTGGCACGCATCGCGTGACCAGCGAATTACATAATACATGATCCCGTGAGTTGAATCAACGGTGGGTAGAGAGAATAAAAGAAAAAGAAAAAGATATGGTATATAGAACTAAGAGATTCCTTACAAAGCCCCCCATTCTCCATTCACACCGTCAATATTCTTCCAAGTTGTAGGGATTTTCCAAGGGGGTTTCGGGATTAAAATTTCGGATATAGGGGGGGGGGGGGGGTCCCGAGGAGGGCTGAACAGCAGATCATGCTTATACACCATCAATTGGCGCGAACAATGTGTCCCGGTTTCCTCTAAGGGTGGGCAGGAGCTAAAAACATGCTCACAATATGTATGGGAGTATATGGGTGAACAGATTCATATATCATTTAACATCTGTGTGAGTGGGTCAGAGATGTGGTCAAAGTCAAAGCGGCACTCCGGAGACCCTCAGTCAATGCTGAAATTGAATGGTTGGAGCTCCAAAAATATAATTTACTCATATAGGGGGTGGTATGAATGTAATGTATACCTCAAAGGTCTTTTTAGTCACAGTTGAGTCCACAGAGATGGGCCGCAACATCTTTGGTTTGGATTTGGATGCTGTCAATGTGGTGGCTGTGAGCCCGCACATGACTCGGAAGCGCGGCCCACCGCTAGGGGTGGGAACCTCCTTCCTTATATGGGGGTGGGGGGGGGGGGTCTGGCCGAGGGTCGAAAAAAACTTTTCGACCCTATATCCGTTTTTCGAATCCCGAAACCCCCTTGGGATTTTCTCCCGGGACGTCTTCCAAAAATGGTTCCGGGACCTTGATGTCACGTAACATCTTCAGATTCCACGTCCCTCCGAACGCTCCTTTTAGCAGCTTGGTACCGGGGAAGCAATTCTTCCAATCAGATACTCGAACAGCTTCTGGGCGGCGGGAGTCATCACGCCGCGGAAGTGGCCGGGGCATTCCTTCTCCACCAGCCACTGAGATTGAAGGAGGGCCTGCCCTTGAAACACCGTATTGAGGATGGGAGAGCAGGGGACAATGGGATGGTGATTGGGGAAGGAACACAAGCCTGGTGATTCGACGGACGCCACCCTTTTGAGTGGGGCTTGAGCGCGCGAATGGAGCCGCACAGCATGGAAATGGGAAAGTTGAAGTTAATTCGTGATGTTCAAAATTAAACATGGGAAGTAAAGCCTTGAGGCAACCGAAACAGCGGTTTTGGAGCTAGTAGCCAGGTGGACGGGAAGAAAACGATAAATCAGGAAGGACACAAACATGTACAATTGAAATCAGGGCATCTGCTTAAGGTACGAGTAATAATCTGCTTAAGGTACAAGTAATTAAGGTACGAGTAGTACGAGTAATACGAGTAATGTTTAAGATGCCGGAGAAGTACGTAAAGGTTGCTATAAGTATCGACTGCCACATGCATATACGCCCCTCCTCAATGGCGTCTACCACCCTTATCTGTGCCCTCCTCCTCGCCCTTGCATACGGTATGCGACTGCTTTGGAGGCGTCTATTCTCCGTCCTGGACAACATCCCCGGTCCTCCGCGAAAGTCCTTCGTTACAGGTATAGATGGAATTCTCATTTAACCTCTACCCGGGTCTCACCTTCGTCGTTGCAGGAAATCTGACTCAATATAACGATCCCGATGGCTGGGTCTTTCACAAGGAGCT